CTCTCTCTCTCTCTCTCTCTCTCTCTCTCTCTCTCTCTCTCTCTCTCTCTCTCTCTCTCTCTGTGTGTGTGTGTGTGTGTGTGTGTGTGTGGTCTGTTTGTATTTCCATTGCAGGTTTGCAAGTTCTTTGTGAATCAGTGTTGCCTGAAAGGGGAAGATTGTCCTTACTCTCACGATCTTGCAAAATTCCCATGCAAGTACTACATTGTGCGTGGCGTCTGCTTCGATGGCGAAAACTGTCGTTTCTCACATGAGGTATGTGATCAATTAGTTTTACAGGTTTCTTGTCTTTGGTTTTGGCGAAAACGTGAAGGCAGAGGAGAGGCAGCAGGTGAAAGGGGCCCATCATTCGGATTTCATGGGTACACCGGACCGTGTTTGAAAACCTGCCATTTGCCATGCAAACATTTGAGTCAGGTCTTGGAGGAACAGGATTGTTCAATCTTTGTGATGTATGTAGTGCTTGGGTGGAGTCTGGAAAACTATGAAACCGATCATTGTGGGCGGATCGTTGGATTTTGGTGATAGAGCTGATAGAGCTCAATGTCAGGCAGAGGCAGTAAGTGCTGTTGTCATTGTGTTTTAGTCAAGGCATTGCCAAAGAGGGTGCTTCTTTGTTTGTGGCTTTGGGTTGCTTGTCGCGAGGAATAAAGGGGTATGTAAAGGGGTATGTAATGGGTTTTTAAAGGGGTGTTTAAAGGGGTACTTAAAGGAATATTTAAAGGGGTACTTAAAAGGGTATTTGAAGGGGTACTTAAAGGGGTATTTGAAGGGGTACTTAAAGGGGTATTTTAAGGGGTACTTAAAGGGGTATTTTAAGGGGTATTTACGACGATGAAGGGTAAGGGCTTCAGTTTGTAGGGTAGCCAGTAATTCATGGAGCTCAATCAGCTGGCAGACGCTTGTGGTTAGCGCCAATTCAATCGGTGATCGTCATCTAGGTCTATGAATCTATGGAGATAATTGCAACAATGGGCTTCCCGTCGTCCCATTGGATTCAGCGGGTCCTATTTCTGTCCGCATGAATAACTCTGTTGAAATTTGTTTTGGCGAGTTTTCGTTTCTGACGCTGACCGTTTCCTGACCGTTTCCGTTTGTCTTGAAACAACAGGCCGTGACGGAGGAAGTGCAAGAGGCTCTTGCGAAGCGTTTGGATCACGAATCGAAGGAACGCCAGTCGTTGAAGGGGATGAATGCAATGGAGGAGAACTTGGAGGAGTCGAAAGACGAAGAACCTGATCTGTTTGGTGCTGATTTTACCACAATGGCTCCTGAGTCTCATGACTCACAGACATCAGAGAGAGGAGGCTGCTCTCCTCGGAGCACGTCAACATTCTTGCCTGTGCTTCCATCATTTGCGCCTGACCGTGTGGATTGCGGTCCGTCGCCAGCACCCAACAAATCTATGCCTTCGTGTTTCCGATCGCTTGAGCATAATACGCGTGCAGTGCAGACCTCGATCAGGGGAAATGCTCTAGGTTTCCCAGATTTCAATTCCGTTCGATCTGCTCCGGGCTTCCCACATTTTGACTCAGTCCGTTCTTACTCTGGCAACCAAGTCAGCCACAGCGCCGAGGAAGGTGAGGGCAAGAGAAGCTTTTCGTCCGACGATAACCTGCCAACCAAGGCTATCATTTCGCATGGTTTGGAGTTGAGAACGGCTCGTCAAAGTGAGGATCATGTAGACTACATGCCTCAGGGTACTTGTCACGAGAACTTCTACGAGTACAGTGGAACAGATAACGCTGATCGCCCTCGTCGAGGCGTTGACGTTGACGGTTTGTCCATCTCGACTGATGGAAGATATGACATGGATACCTCCTTGCATGAAGAGTGCCTAGATTCATCTGAATCCAGGAGGGTTGTTTGCCAAGCTAGTGCAGTTGGGGATATCAGCATCCCTCAGCAGCAATACGCCAGTCGTTTCATCCATACAAGTGGTGTGAATGGTAGTTCGAGTCCGTCCCTCAGTAATGAGGAGGCGTCTAAGTGCTGGGAAGGTAAATATGGCAGCAGCTCCGGTCGATGTCAGGGTGATGCGGCACCCATGTTCTTGGACAGCATGAGAGTACATGGCGAGAAACATGTGCTGGACGACAAACCACAATCGCTGTCCTGCCAAGAAGCCAAACAGGCAGGCTCAACAGATTTGATGCTGCTGCAGAAGGGAGGCATCCTGGGCGATAGGGAGAAAGTGTCGCCTTATGCGAGATCCTTCGGGTGTGCAGAAATGCCTGTGATGGGGAGTAGCTTTGGCAGTTGCACTAAGACGGAGCATGATGAGCGGGCGGAGTGGTTTGATGGAGTGACGGATAGAGATAGGGGTTTGTGTGATGAGGAAGCAGGTGGGAGTGCATGCTTGGGCCCTGTTTCGCCAGGTCGTCAGAACGGAAAAGGACGTGAGGGTGGAGGCCACCTTAAAAGTGAACCATTGGCAGGCCCCCCTGTAAACGTCAGCGAAGGAGGGTTCTTCCATCATCAGTGGCAGGACACTACGCAGGGTGGATTGCGTGATACTCCTTGGCAGGAAGAGATGGAAGGTTGTTCTTCTCCATTTGCTGGGCGACAAAAGTCGTTACCTGGCCATGCAGGATCGAGGGACGGGTGCTTTTTCAGCCTTTCGCTTGGTCCTGATTCCGATTACAAGGAGGGATGTGATAGAGTCGGCGAGAATACAAGGGCAGGCGGGCGAGTAGAAGTGGCGTTGTTAGCATCTGATGATGATATCGCAGCCAATCGCGGTGATGGTGGTGGCATTTGTGATGATCTTAACTGTGCACCACAAAGACCAGAAGAAAGTTTTCCTGGAATCATGGTGACACGGCATGTCGCAGATGTTAGTCAGATCAAGGTAATGAATTTCTTGTCTCCTTTCGATGGCTTGGTGGGAAAACCAATGTTGGGTATGGATGATGATGAGGAGGAGCCATCCTCTCTCGAAGCAGAAAGAGTGGGGGGCGATGCAAGGACTGGCTGTTTCAGCGATGAGCAAGCGGAAAAAGAGGGGGCTATGTCACCAGGACAGGAAGGAAAGGAGCTAACGATGGCATTGAAATATGAGTCGGAGACGGGTAATGAAAAGGATGTCGGTGCGTACAACTGGGCAGGCAGGGAGGAGAGGACAGGTTTAGGGCGGGGAGGAGAGGTACTAGCCAAGGCACATGGTTCGGGATGGTCACAATCTTTCTGGCCACAGGAGGGGTGGTATAATGCAGCAGAGGAGGAGGAGGAGGAGGAGGACGAGGAGGAGGATGAGTAGCAGGAAGGGGGGATGGAATGAATGCACACGTGAACGGGGTCGTTCGCAGCGAGGTGAAAGTGAGAGCTTGGATATAACCGAGTGTAATTATTCTGAGGCAGGAAGGGGGGATGGAATGAATGCACACGTGAACAGGGTCATTCGCAGCGAGGTGAAAGTGAGAGCTTGGATATAACCGAGTGTAATTATTCTGAGGGACAATCACATTTGTTTGATTTGTGATGGTATACGGATGGTGGAAAAATTATCACCGCTGTACGGGGAAAACTGCAGTTGCGCTGCAGTGTGGAGAAGCATTGTTATCGTAGGTGTTTTTCTAGAAACAGCCAATTTTTGTTATGCTGTCTTGCTGGAACGTGAATTGCAGGGTTTGCAGCCACAAGCAGTTTATTGGCCGCTGTGGTTTTCATGACGGCAGAGCTGGTGCGAGGGATGATGCAATGGCTACGTCGAGAGTCGAGACCGTTTTGAGGTGCACCTTAGGATGCAGTTGGGGAAAAGGAGGGTGGATGGAAAATCCCAAAAAGGGGTACCGTAAACATGCCTTTGTTTTGTGAAGTTAGCCTGTGGAAAAGGGTGTTTGCATTGTTCGTCAGCCCACAGGGGATGCCCAGCCCTCTTGATAACCGGGACTCTGCATATATAAGGTATGGTTGTGTTACAGCTGAAGCATGCCTTTGTTTTGTGAAGAAAGTCTGTGGAGGGGGTGTTGCGGTGTTCGTCAGCCCACAGGGGATGCTCAGTTTTTTTTGCAGTGTTGTCAGCCCACAGGGGATGCCCAGCCCTCTCGATAACAGGGACTCTGCATATGCGCTATTATGCGGTATGGTTGTGTTAGCGCTGAATTAAGCTGATGGAGGTAGTCCCATGTCAGATGCAGTTGGCACATTAATTCGAAGTGCGAGGCGCATGCTATTTCAAGTGTGGATGTGTGATGGTTGCTGAAGATGTGGTGGAAGTAAGTATCATGATATGGTATCTCACCGAATTGCATGTGCTTTGCATACGCTTTATTTTTCAGTAGCCTGTATCTGTTCTTTTTTTTTGTTCTTTCCCGCTTTATTTTTCATTTGCCTGTATCTGTTCCTTTTTTTGTTCTTTCCCTCCCTCCCTCCCAGGTCTGGACCTGCTACCACCTTCACCCAAATTGGACACGTGTTAGCCTGTATGGCTTGCCACAAGTGCGGGTGTACTGACAGTGCGTACCATTTGCGTGAAGACGGTAGGCCTGAAGCTGAACACTGGATTTGCGAGAGAGGGTTCCTCCACCTAGAGAAAGTGGCTTATCCGTCTTTCGTTCCTCGTCGGTTTCCGTATGTACGACCTTTTATTTGATTCACTTCATGCCCATGGCTGCGGTGGTTTGGATGACAAGTGTACTAAATGTGCACTTTTTTTTTTTTTTTTTTTTTTTGAGTGCTTTTTTGTTTTTTTTCCTCGTGTACCAGGAGGGCAATGGTGTCTGCTGTTTTCCTGATTTGGTTTCTTGTCATGTGCTTCAAGATCCCATGCCAAGCGCTATAGCACAACTCTTCACCACAAGTATACGCATGACTATTGCAGACTGTTTTGTCGGACTTTCACCATGGGCAAGGACTCACCACATCGTGGA